AGGTTTCTCCGCAGAAACTGATCAAGCAGTTCAGACAAATTTTATCAGAGGCGATGAAGAAGCGTAGACTAATGAATGACTTAACCAGTGGTGGAAATAAAGAGGAGGTGCAGCCTGTGTGTGGTTGAAGGTGACTCTGGTTTAAGGTCTGATTGTGCAGTGATGAAGATGAAGAAACGGTGTGCGTGCAACATAAAGCAGACTTTGATGCTGCTCATACATAAATAGAGCGAGCCTCTGGTGTGAGGCTGTTTCCTGATTGGATAACTCAGCCCCAACAATAGCCCACTCTGATGGTAGCGATGGAGCTCAGTTTGATGCTAAAGGTTGTGGAGAAAGTCTGAGGCGGGCAGGAAGGAAAGCAGGGCGGGGTGTGCAGAACGTGCCTCTGCTGGCTGAGGGGAAGTTTAAAGATCGATGGACCCAGAGAGAAAAGAGTCACACGGGTCCGGGATGCAGGAGAAAGAAGTTCCAGATCATTTCAGCCTCTGGAGCTGATGGAGGAAACCTCCAGCTCCTCTCTGGACCAAAGTGCTTCAGCTGAAACATGTCTGTAACTGTCAGTGTGTCAGAGGAAGCGTGTTTCTTACCGAGCGGTCAGATTTAAATCAGGGATGCTCAGATGTGCCGCTACATGTTTGATTCTTGGATTCGTTTGGGGCGCAAAGACGGTGAGTTACCGGATCATTTATCTACATCCGCTTTCTGTTGTAAGCCAACCCAATCAGTAATACGGAGGCAACCTGAGAATGGTCAGTGGTGACAGTGGGAAGGAAGAACTCCTTTTAGACAGGAAGAAGCCTCTAACAGAATCAGGCTCAGGGGAAATACACAACAGAGTGCTTTGGGCCCTCACTCGTACTCTTTTCATTTCTTAGAGAGTGTTAGCACTACAGAAACAATAAAGTGCCTTATTTTCTGAGAGTGCGATGTTAATAGGGGAACTTTTTACCTCTGCGCAGGCATTTAAACACTCATGAACTCTTTGGTTTGATCCCAGGAGGAGACAACCTCCTCTGCATTTGCACCGCGAAGGCCATTTGTGTAAAAAAAAGACATCAGACACCAGCAAATCATTTTCTTTGAGTTTCACAAACACCATTTGACCCTGACCCTTCTCTCTGTGACCTCCTGATGCAGGTCCAGACCTCAGAGGGTCCCCGATGCTCCGCAGACCTGAAGGAGATCAGCTCCAGCTCAGACTCCGTCGCAGTGCAGGTAACGTCGGCCGGTCTGTCCTGTAACTTCAGCCTGTTCTGCGTTCTGGACTCATGGTCCAGTCCTGCCCACTGCAAGTCTGATGGAGAGACCGGCAGCGCCACCATCTGTAATATAACGGGACTGCAACCCGGGACAGTGTATCAGCTGACAGCGGTTTCCAGGAAGGATGGCGAGATTAGCCACGGGACAGTTCAGACAGGTAGGAGCGCACCTGAAGAGTGAAGCTGCAGTTCAGAAGTTAGCACCTGAGTGCTCTGTGTAGCTATTTTAACTTTACCGTCGCATTGCTTAGAACAAGCTCCGCCCCTTTCTCATGACACCCATGCACGTGTGCTCCCCATCATGGACAAACCTCCTGACATTATTGATTATTGATGATATTATGTTTTAGAGCGCGCCAGGTTTTTAAACTTCGAACAATAAAATCAATTTCTAAAAATAATCCGGTTAAAAATATTCAAACTTGTAACTTCCAAGATTCAATATCTCTGGACCTGCTTTACTAACACGTGCATGAAAACCAAAAAATCACCGTCAGATTTAGGGAAACATGTTAGTAAATCAGACTGTGCTCACTGCCTGCGTACGGCAGGTGAAGTAATGATGTAAGAGAGACTGCTAAGCCAAGAAAGAAGGAGAACGTCCGGCTGCAGAAACCTTTAAAACACTTTCCTAACTCCAAGGAGGAATCCAGATCAGGCTCTCCATGGGAGTGATGACTGTTTTAAATAACAGAGAGATAAATAAATCAGGCTGAAATAACAGGCTGCTGAATATTGTTTCCCCTCAAACAGTGACTGTGGCTCCACAATGTTTGGAGTGAAACGAGAAGCAGACAAGAAGAAAATGTGGAGACGAGGACGTGATCTGTGAGAAGAAGAAGCATTTCAGTGCTTATAATGTTTTGGAAAACTTTAATTAGAGTCTAAAAGGCAATAATAATTATCAGCAGTCGTTTCAAAGACGTGTGCTTTCTTACGATGGACAGGCATCTGTTCGTACGCGTGGTCAGAGGCACTTCTAGATGTCTTCACGAAGTAAAAACTCCTGATGAACCACAGATTTGTGCACTGTTGGTAAATGAGGCCGATTAATGCTTTGCTTTAATGATTACAAGTGTTTTCTAAAAACATGCCTAAACTAACCCAAACCCTGACCTCCCCCCATCGCTGGACTGATCCAGGACCTGCTGCAAACAAACGAAGGAAGTGGCTGAGAGCAGAGGAGGGTGAGGAGGGTGAGGAGGGTGAGGAGGGGATGTTTCTGGAAACAAACACTCAAGATGAGATGAAGACCATTGTTAGAGAGCTCCGTGTTTCTGTGTTTATCAGGAACTTTCTGGAACGAGCAGCTGCCTCCGAGCTCT